AGGGCCAGCCCCTGGGCCTGGCTGACGCTGGCCTTGCTGTGTGGCCCTGTGATGGGCTGGCTCCAAGCCCTTGAACCTTCTGTAACCGCCCTACCCCACCCCTTGCCATCTCCTGCTGGGGTCTGGCTTCTGAAGAAGTCATTCTAGGGGGGCATTTATTCCACGCTCCTGCCTCTTGCTGTCCTGGCGCCGCCAGGGGCTGAGGGGAGTGAAGGCCGACGTGGTCCCTGTCCTCATGGAGTTGCCCGCTGGGCGGGGGGAGGCGCAGACGAGATGAACAAGCCAACCACCAATCCCATGAATAGTTATTCATGGCAGGGGCAGGGGCCCGCAGCAGAGCAGGCAGCCTGGGGAGGCGGCGGGCACGTGAGTGGTTTAGAGGCTGCGGGACGAGCAGGGGCACCCGAGGGAGCACTGGGTGAGGCCCAGGCTGGACAGGCCTGGCCTGCGGTTGGAGGGGGTGGGTCATCGGAGGGACAGAGCAAGCGCCTAGGGACTGGAGGGTGAGGTTAGAAGAGGGGCAGGAGAGGCAGGAGGGACTGGACGTGGGATCTGCAGGCCACGGTGAGGGTCCCCTGGAGGGAGGCTGAGTCTGGGCGCGCCCGTCGCAGCCTCGAGGGGTGGGAAGCCCTTCAGCCTCTGCATCCCGGCACCAAGGAGAGGGCCCCGGACAGTGCTGGAGGGACGCTGCGAGGGGAGGGGAGCTCCACCGCCCGCCCCACGCTGCCCGGCTCCTGCTGGCCCCTCCCGCACAAAGCCTCTCTCTTGGCAGCTGGTGGTGCAGGGCTGAAAACAATGTGGAGAATCTCCAGCCAGGGCTGTGGGATGGACGGGTTCTATTTATAAGTAGAGGGGCTGAACAATGGCGCAGTGGGTCTGCGGCCGGACCTCCTGGGAAACCTCAGCGCCAGGCCCCGGAAGACAAGCGGAGGAAGGAGGGGATCAGACACTGAGGGCGCGGAGCCAGCTGCTTCCTCCAGGATCCGACCCCTTCCCGGAAAGCCGGCAGCTCCGGCCCGCGCACGGTGCGGGCCACACGCTCAGCCCCTGCCCCTCCCTCCCAGGGCTGTGGTTTAGACAGACGATGACCACGGACGAGGCCGGAGCCAGCAGGAGGGGGCAAACAGCTACAGGACAGGCGGAAGGTCTGCTGTGGCCCACGACCAAGGTCAGCGCGTTTTCACAGGGCAGACAGGGCAGCTGTGTGGTTAGGGGCTCAGCGGTGCCCCAGGCGCAAGCGGCCAAGTATTTCTTCTAAAACGAATGACTATCTTGGGGGGTGGGGGTGGCATGGCCCAGGCTCCTGGCTCCACCAATGGCTGGCTCAAGACTCAGCAAACTGCTCCTCTCTCAGCCTCACCTTCTCACCTGAAGACCTGGGTTACGGGAACTGGCTCGTAGGCCCAACTGGCTCGTAGGCTGGATGTGAAAATGTCTGTGAACACTTAGGACAGGCAGTGTCTGGCACGAAGGGTCACCAGTGAGTTATCACAACATTACAATCGTATAATCGAACTGGGCGATTGAACAACGCGGGGGTCGGGGTGCCGACCAGCCGCCGTAGCTGAAGTCCGCCCTCCAGACACGCAGGTTCCCAGCCGAGAATAAGAAATTCGCCTGAGCTTACACAGCGTGAACTGCGCGGTCCACTGAAAGCCCCGTGGATGGCGCGTTCACACCCACGGCGCTCAAGGGCCGGCCGCGCGGGGAGGCCCGCGTCAGAAACCCGCAGGAAGCGAGCGGCCCGAGGGGCTGCCCCCGGCACGCGCTCCCAGGAGCCGGCGCCAGCAGAGGCTCGAGGTCGGGACAATTTGGAAACGGCTGCCTGCTTCGGGTTATTGATTTACAAGCACACAGGGAAATTAAAGACTCCAGAGTCTTCAATGAAGAGCTTTTAACTTTTGTTCCGTCTGTTCTTTCCCCAACTCACGTGACCAGGGAGCCCTTTGGTTTTGGCTCAGAATAAACTTCCCACAGGAAGCTCTGTGAGGACGGCCGGGGTTTAGGGGTAAAACAATCTCAGGCCGATTCCTCTGTCCACACGTGAGTGACGAAGGAACAGACAAATGGGGGGAGAACAGGAGGGAGGGACCCCGGCCCCGCCTTCGGCTCAGCAGGAAGGAGGAGGGTAAGAACCAGTGAACTCTTAGAGGTGCCAGCCGTCCCGAGACACTGGGGACGGGCGCCCACGAGCCAACGAAACGTGGGAGAAAAAGGAAGACTGGGGGCCAAGCTCGGCAGGACGGCAGGACGCAGACCCCCCCCCCCCCCCCCC